AAGTATCATGAATTGCATAATTTTATTAGCTCATAAAAGGATGAACGAAAGATAAAATTTTCCTAATATTCAGGAATTAATTGAATGCATTTATTAAATGCATTGAAATCTTAATCATCAATAACTTTAGTAGTGGTTTAACAAAGATGTTAAAATATTTACATGTTGGTCGGTAAAACAGACAGGCTGCAATATTTTAAAATATGGAAACACATTTTTATGTTTTTCCTAGCATAATTCCTGTATATAGTTTTGTTGTTGTTGTTTTGTTTTTTTCTTGAAATGTGGTAAGTATTTTGCTCTTTTTTTAGGGTGATCCAGGGGTTATGGGCCCTTTTGGGATGCCTGGAGCGTCAGTTCCTGGGCCACCTGGGCCAAAGGTATGCATTCTTGGGAATATTTTTTTCTTTTACTTGGACCTTTGGCGTTGGAGGTGGCAGGGAGAGGGAATTCATGATACCAGTGAAGGAGAATTTTAGTTCTGGAAGAACCATAAGATATTATCTATAGTTCAACCCTGCTATACCATAATTAAACAAACCAAAGGCCAGCAGCAAATATAAGATTAGGAAACTGACTTCTTAGTCCTGGTCTTAAACTTGTCTTCACCTCGAATGACCTCTCTCAAATCCTAGACCTTAGTTAGTGCAGGTAAGAATTGCCTGTATTGATTCCGAAGAATCTGCTAGGAATTATAATCAGAAAAGAAATCCACTCAGATTAGAGAGCATTCCCACATATTTTTATCGTCTAAATATGAGTCTAGATAGCCACCTATTATTCCTGTGGCCTTTCTCTGAACAGCTTAATAGTCTATACCGACAGGCTTTATTTGCTCAGGATTTGAAATGCCCCTCAAATATATTAGAAGAATGTACTCTCTTAACATCTGAGACTGATAGATTAATCCCTTTACAAATTGGCTGATGGCTTTTTTGGCCATATGTCATTATGGTTTCTCATGCAACCTAGTCTGAAACTGTGAACATTATTTAAAATGTACAGGGAGATAGAGGAGGCCCTGGGGTACCCGGATTTAAAGGAGAACCTGGAATTGCTATTCGAGGACCAAAGGTATGCTTTATTCATGTTCTTTTTATTTTATTTTTTTCTGTATGTGAGAGAGTGCAAGTAAATTTAATGCATAATAAGTTGATGATTGAGATGGGTGTACTCGGAGCCTTTACAATGATGAATTACGCTGAATGTAAGAATATGCTACATTGATGAATTATGCTGAATGTAAGAATATGTTTTTCCCCCTTTGAAAAATCAAGCCATCAGATCATTTATTTTTTTCATAAATGTGGGGGATGACAACTCCTATGGTTAAATTGTCGCTGACTAAATAGTTGTTTGAAAATGCTCTTTTTGTAATGTATGTGATATAAGAGATTATATGAACTCTAGCCTTTTTTATTTACAAAGGCATGGCCAGTATATCTCTTCTACAAAACATTGTTCCAAAAGTTCATGTTTGGAAGCTTTATTGAATCAAATTTCTCTGCTTTGTTATCCATCTTTCGGAGTTAATTTAAATGGAAATGCAAATAATTATAGGAGAAAACAGCTATAAGTAGTCATTTCTATTTTTCCATGGCAACCAAGCACCATTTCCCTCCTCACACAACACCCGGCGTCCCAGCAACATTTAACATTCCAAATGTCAACAAGAGCATCCCTGTGTATAAAAACAGGCTTCAGGGCTCCATAACCAGCACTTACTACATTAGCAGCGTGTTGTTATGTAGCTTTGAAGCTGGCTTTAGTTCTGTCAAATTGCCTCTTGTAGATAAAAGGGTTCAAATACTAAAATCAGTCATTTTCAAACTTCAAAAAAGAAACCGTAGAACCATCTTTGAAATATAATGCTGATATATACACTGATATAAGTTGGAGGAGCTCTTTTCGAAGGTTGAGAAAGGATCCTGACCTTCACTGTCCTTGATCACTGTAACGGTTGTTCTGGCTAGTGATAATCTTCTGCTTTACTGGGGACAGAGGAGGTTCCCAGGATGTGGGACTTTCAAGCTGAAATAGAGAAAGTCTTGGGAAAACCAGAATAAAATGGTCACCTCACTCCCCAGACTCTGAGGCTGGTGGGAACCCAAGTTGTGTCAAAGACTCTATGGGAACCCAAGTTATATGACTCAAGGAGGAACTTCCAAATTTCCTAATGCTAAAACCAAAGATATGACCTGGGCCAAGAACATTTAGGTGACAGTTTTCACACTGTTTGATAATGTCCTGGATCTGTGTCTTCCTAGTTCCATGATTTAAGTTCCACTTCTCTCTACTTATAATTAAATATGCAACTAGGGTTTATAAGTCCTGCATGTTTTCTACTCATCATTCTTGGTCATTGTTGGTGACGGTATTTAAAGTTATTTGCCTCTTCAATCCAAGCGTTCTTCTAATCCCTTGGCTTCTAAAGATGCTCTTTCTGCAATTCTTCCTTAATTCATTGGCTTTAAAGCGTTTTGAGGGTTGAATGTCCATGGAAGGTTTGGCACATTAATTCAATTTTGTGTATTACTTCAGGGAGCTCCCAGATCCTCCTAAAGCCCATTTCAAAACAGTAGATTAAGATTTCTGCCCTAATTTCTGTTGAAAGAGAGACACACTTGAAAATGAATCACTCTGTTGGACATCTTCTTGAATCCAGTGCAAAAAGGCCAAATGGCAAAATTCTATCTAAAAACATATTGCGAGGAGTCTGAAATAAAAGCCTGAGAAAGACAATTTTCCTTATCCCCCTCCCCTGATATTTCCTATTACCATTAGAAGTAATAAGCTAACTGAAATTTTTGCAGGAGGAAGGACAAAGTTCTCTAGGAAAAAACTGTTTGTAAACTATGAATGCTTTAATGTTTTTTCCCCCAGTGTGGGTGCCAGAGGATAAACAATAACAGCTGCTGATAATTTGTTAGAGGCTTGGAACTTATAAATAAACACTGAAAAGTGAATTTTTATTCCAATTTTCTTTTCCTTTCAGCTTACCCAGGGAGCAGTTACTGCTTTGTTTTGTGGTTGGTCCACTCCTTGTGTGAGCATGGAGAGGAATGGCCATCTTATGTTGGGACATATCCCATATGGACTGTTTAGCCTTAAACGTAGCTGGAATAGCATAATAAGTTGCTGCTGGGGAGTCACCAGTTTCCTGTAGTTGGAGATATACCAAAAGTCACCTCTCCGGAAGACCTTGTGTTTGTCATAAAACTTTATGAGATCATCTGGGGGTTTTGTTGATGATAAATAGTACATTAAGTTTTTATAGGCACCCACATGTGTTCTGAAGGTGATCATTCTTAAGAAGGTAAAACATATAAAACCAATCTCTTAGATTTAATAGGAAAAAACAGTTGTTGCAGTCATGGTTTTCAAACCAAATAAACTTCCTTATTGCTTAAAGGGTTTTCGGGTTCCACCAACAATCCGCCCTGCTCCCTCCTCCCCCCCAATCAGTCATTCTTTCATAGGAGTGGAATTAGGAACAGTTTTGGGAAGTTGGATTTTGGGCAACATTTTGGCTTGGATTAATAGCAGTTTGATTTCAGTGTTTGGTTGCATATATGACAAGTATTGAGAGTCCTGCTGCTTTTTCCAATCTTGGAAAACAAAGGTCTATTAGTAGAGTTTCCTCCTAATGTAAAAAGCCATAAATATTTAAAAACATGAACAGCTCTTTATCAAAATTGATGTGTATTGACAAGGGCCACTGTAAGAGTTATCACAGTAACAGAATGGAATGTGGTATAAAAAGAAATATTACAAGTTGTAAATATAATAGATATATTTAACAAATCTTCTAAAAGAGCCTGCCTCATTTTTTTTCTTTTCTGTCCATTTTACTTTAGCCAAAATTTTCTTTGATTTCCATTTGTGGAGATTACACATCTCAGAAAATTCTGTTGCTCAAAAGGCAATAATCAATCACCCTTGCCTGTCCTCTATATAGGGGGCCAGTAGTTTCTACTAAAAGTGTTTGATGCCTAAGGTTATCACTGTAAAGCAATATTTATAATTTTTCCCTAGGTCTCAAGTTATGAACCACAAACACTGTGTCTTATCCCTTTATAACTTGTTTTTTATAAAATTAATCTGTTCCCAATTTTTATCTGGGCTTATTTATTCCCCATGTAACTTGGGCCCCATTGAGGAAGATGATAGCTATAATAATGGGTATTATATAGTTATCTTACTTTGTATCTTACTTAAAATCTTGCTATGTATTCTTTTCTTTTTCTCACATGATACTTGCTAAAATTTTCTTTTTTATACTTATCCTTGATTTATGATGCACTCAAAGTTTGTAATTTTAAAAATTAAAATATCAGCAACAGCTATTTTCTAATTCCTATGAAGTGTGTTTCCTATAGAGCACTTGTAATGGTTCACATATATTCCCTACATGCATTCCATGCTCCCCATCGAACACAAATGGATAAGGCTTATGAAGAGATAACAAGTTGCCATATGTTTTCCTTCTAAATTTTTTCCAATCATTCCTTTGTACTTATCAAATCCACCTTGAGCATATGGAGTTGGTATTGTGCTTAACTAAGTTTTGCCAGGTATTTCATAGTTTTATCTTATATCAACTGGTATTGAAATTTACCCAGGGTGCCCAAGGCCCTCGGGGACCAGTGGGCATTCCAGGACTCAAAGGCGATGGCTATCCTGGTGTGGCTGTAAGTGTGGACATCCCTTTCTCTTTCCTGTTCTTATTCCCTCCCTCCCTTCATTTGTCCCTCCCTCCCTCCCTCCCTCCTACCCTCCCACCTTCCGCCTTCCTGAACACTGCAAACAACAAGGTTGCTCACTCTCTCCCTTATTATGTCATCTCAGGGACCTCGAGGATTACCAGGACCCCCTGGACCAATGGGTTTACGTGGACTGGGGGACACTGGAGCAAAGGTAAGATTTTAAAGTAGGTAAATAGTGGCTTCTAAAAATGTACCTATAAGTAAGTGAATTTGGCAAAGGTAAAAATTTTTATCAGGCATGATAGAACAGTAGAGGTATCTAAAGAATTGATAAAATTATTTACCCTCATCTATGGACTTCCTGGGGACTTTGCACTAATTTGATCATGTAGATTCACTTTCTGGGTTTTCTCCTACTTCCCTGTGGCAACTCTCACGTTCCTTTGCTTTGTCTTCCTACACAAAGATCAGAGTTTGGTTCAGAGCCCTCTTCTCTCTAGCCATGCTGTTTCCTAGGTCTTCTCATCCAGTCCCATGGCTTTACCCACTATCCACAGGCTGATGGCTTCCAAATTTCTACTTGAATCTTCTCTCCTCTAAGCTCTCGTCTCACCCATCCAGTTTCTTAGCACATAACTCCTCTTAAATTTCTCACAAACATCTCTAGTCTAACATCAAAACAGAACCTTTGATTTTTCACCCCATACGCCTGTGAGTGGCACAGTCATGTGCCCCATGCTTGTGCCATGCCCTGAGTCACTCCTGGCCCTATTCCTGGCCTCCTCCCCCACATCTAGCCCAGGGGTAAATTCTGTCAGTTCTACCATCAGAATATATATTGACTCTTGCTGCTTTCTCCTGCTGCTGCTATCAGGGCTGACCACCATCATCTCTTGCCCGGGCTGTTGAAATAACCTCCTCATAGGTCTTCCCTCCTCCACCTCTGACCTCCTATTACCTAGTAGGCAGAGGAGTCTTTGAAAACCATAAATCAGATCATATCTCTTCTCAAAAAAACCCCACCCAAAATCCCACTCTGGCAGCCTCTTTTGTGCTGAGAACAAGCTCCACCCACTTTCCACGGCCTATGAGGCCCTTCATGAACCAACCGCAGCTCCTGCAGCTCCTCCCTTGCTGCCGACCTGCAGCCACACTGGCCTACACCACACGTTCCTGCAGCTCATTCCTGCTTCCAGGCCTCGGCTCCGTCAGGATGGCCCATTTTTAAGATCTTAACTCAAATATCACCTCCCTGAACACCCATACAGAGGCAATTCTCTCTTCCCTCTCCTTCCCTCCATCACTGTCACATGCCCCCTGTGTATTTCCTGCATAGCATGTATCACTTTCTGGAATAATCTCGCTCGTGTACTGCCATGCATGTTCCACAGGGGTGTAAATTTCCCTGAAGGCAGGCTCTCGGCCTTGTTGCCTGCTACATTCCCGGCACCAGAACTAGGTGTGCCACCCAGCAGGAGCTCTATAACATGTTGAATGCAAGGAAAATGAATGAGTGATCAACATTACCCCCAAAGAGAGGATTTTTCCTCAGAAATATATCCACTCAGCTTTTCAAATGCTTCCGGGTCATAGAAACAGATGTTGTAAGTGCTCAATGGCAACTTTTTGTCTTGATTTTTTGGCCTCTACTCCATCACTTAGGAGTGATGACACTTTGATATGGCTTCTGTACAAGGGGCGGATGCCCCTATGTCCTCTCCCAGGTAGAATGAAAGATCGGAGACCCATGCCACTATACATCATCTCCAAAGGAGATCTTGATTCCTGCCCCATCTGTCTGTCAGGGCAATCAGCCAGGGAGGGGCTGTGTCTGAAGCGCTGAAGAAACTGTACAAAAGAGACATAACGGAGGGGCTTTTATCACAGTTCTGACTTGGTCTGACTCAGGAACGAATGCAACCCTCTAATATACCTCCACAGTGTCAGCACCCATACTGCATTTGGGTACTGTAGTAGTATTTTATTCTTTAAGGCAAAGTATCTGTCAAAATGTTAAAATTTAAAAATAGAAAAATTTCAATATATGTAAACCTTGTTATTTTCTGCTCTGAGTGAAACATTGGTTAAAAAAGAAAACAACAACTTTGGGCTGGCCGAGTGGCGCGTTGGTTAACAGTTGGCTTGGCATGCCAGCTCTGAGCAGCAGAGCCCCGGTTCGTATCCCACATGAGGGCCAGTGACACTGTGCCCTCTACAGCTAAGATGGTGAACAACAGCTTGACCTGGAGCTGGGCTGCCGTGAGTCGCTGGCTATGGCGTAAGCTACAGTACAGCTGCAGTGGGGCTGCCATAAGCTACTGTGAGTGGCTGGCAGCTGGCGTGAGCTGCCAAGAGCCGCCATGAGTGGCCTCCAATGGCTGGCGAGCAACTGCCTCACCCAGGAAGAGCACAATGATAATACCAACATGGGCCAGTGAAGTGATGTCCTTCTCAACTAAACTGAAGAACAAAAGGACAGCAACTTTGTTCCCCTTCCCTGATTTCCCAATAAAATCTTTAAAAACAAAAACAAAACAATTTTTACCATACTAAAATCCCTTTAGTTAGGGAAGTAGAAGCTTATTCCTATTTCAAATAAGGCAGGAAATAAGATGTGTTAAATAAGATGTGCATCTGTATTCCAAGGGCAACATATGATCATTTACATTTCCACAGAATAGATTATTGTATTTTATATAAGTAAACACTGTATTATATTAATTATACTATTATGTGACTGCCTTACAGAGAACAATAATAATAAAGATGGGTACTTGGGCACAGAGACAACATTTAAAAATTTGATTCTTGTGAATATTCACTATGTCAGATTATTGAACCTGCAGACTAAAACACTTGTGAAATGATTTCTATACCATTTCTCTCTAAAAGTCATTTGTATTTGTTTTCATATATATTTTAAGAGGAAAAATCAAGGAGAAAAAGTGTTCTTTCAAAATTTTGTCCTGCCCTTTTTTTTGGGGGGGTGGGATGTGGGAGGATAACAGTGGACATGTTGCTAGAAGATGCATCTTAATGGAACTTGCTATCTCTGTGAGCTTCCCCAGGAGGCTGAGTGGAAGCAGCAGCCCCCAGCTCCCTTCTGAAGGAAGAGAACATTAGCTAATGCCTCTCTCTGCCAACCTTCCTCTCAGCTGCCTTTTCTGTCTCTTTCTTGCCTCTTTCTGTGGACACTAGGAAAGCATGTTATCCTGGCTATCCCTAGCCCTGGAGGGAGATGTTAGGGGTGTGAGCTAGTCTTAGAATCAAAGAACTTGGATCGCAAACTTGAAAATGAAGGAAATTCTAAAAGCAAACCCCAGATTTCAAATAGCTTTCAAAATCATCTCTCCTCTTTTATAGAGGCCTTTAAGTCTTTATGTGGTCTTTTTTTTTTTCTGAAGAAAACTTAAGACACACACACACACACACACACACTAATAGAAGCTGGTAATGAAAGGAAAATACTTGGAAAAGTCTAATTCCCACTTAACTTTGTCCTTCTGGTTTGGTAAAGTAGAGTTAAAACTCTCAAAATACCTAAGGCTCTCAATGGTAGCAAAAGCACAGGACTTAAATGTGTGCAAAATTCCTCTCCTTCTATTTTGACTTAAAATGGCAGAGAAATTATAGAATGTGCAAGTGTGTGTGTGTGTGTGTGTGTGTGTGTGTGTGTAGTTGTATAGATATACTATATCTGATATGTTTTTCATTTAAACTCTATGTAGTCACCTTAAAATAATGGCCTTTGGGCATTAACTTACCGAACAAGTGTGTTTTGAAATAAGGAAACCATTAGGGTTGAGGATTAATTTATGGTGGGTTTTTGTGATATTTAGTTAAGGTCACATGTGTTGAGCATATGACACAGACATTTGAATCAAAGCTTCTATGTTTCAAAACATATAAAAAGCAGCCCTGACATCTTGCACCCTTGTGGTGCTCCCTAGTTTTTATTCCAAGCGAAAGAATTCCATATGGCATCAGAGGTTATAGTACGTCCATACACATTACCTTGAATTTAATCCAAAATTTGACAAGGGCTTTTGAGAGATTTCTAAAATTCTTGTAAAAACTACAACGTTCAAGGAAATGGTAGATATGGTTCTAAAATCCACTTTGGAAACATGCCAGGAAGAGAAATGGACAACGTGGTTTCTTGCCAACTGAGACGTGCTCACCCAGTGCCCTGACCCCGGACCTAAACTCCCTGCCCCTTGATGGGAAAGGGAAGATCAAAGGTCCTATCTAATACTGCCTGCATTCTTTATTATTATTATTATTATTATTATTATTATTATTATTTTCAGGTGTACAAAACTATGTAATAATTAGACATTTACTCACAAAGTGATAACCCCCCCCAACCTACTACCCCTCTGACATCATGTATAGCTGTTACAATTCCATGGACTCTATTCCCTATGCTGTACTCTACATCCTGTGACTATATGAGTATATACAGAGGGTGCCAAAAAAAGGTATACACACTTTAAGAAAGGAAAAGAACTGTATTAAAATTATGCTGATGGTAACCACTTTGAGTACCTCTTGTAATTGCAGAAGTCAAACGTGACTTGTATTCATCTTTTGTTATCGGTATATATTGAGTATTACAATTTTAATACAGTTTTCCCTGTCTTAAAACGTGTATACATTTTTTTGGCACCCTCTCTCTATATATATGTTTGATTATAGTTGACATTCACTATTATTCACCTTCAGGTGTAAGTGCAGTGGTCAGGCATCTACACAGTCTATGCAGTGGTCTCCTTCTTACCATCTGTCTGCATTCTTTTCTGAGCCTCTAGAGACTAGAAGGATGCTTTGTGATTTAGGGACAATCATTGTATACATTTCATCTCATTTTAAGAAGCTCAGATAACTCTTTGTTCCTGTATTTTCACCCCAAAGTCTCAGGAGGGACATGTTGCCCCGGGGCTGATTCACTGACACCTCTGAAGGTAGGAGTTTGTTCTTCACCTCTCAGAAGAGGAATATGAAGAGTGGCTCTCCTGAGCTCTGGAAGGGCCGGTACATCCTGCCCTGCACCTTGCTCAGCACTTTGAGCCCCTTCATTGAGCTAGTTCATCATGGAGGAAGCTATGGCCTTCCCCAAAGCTTTGAAGCAGTTGAGATTAGGCCAATCCTTGCACAGAGGAGATCAAACCTGGATTTTGGAGCCCTCCAGGGACCTCTTAACCATCAAGT